GGGGGGGGGGGGGGATTTGATGCCCCAAGACACTCAGGAAGGTCACGGGTCCAGTAAGTCTGCTGAGAACCAGCCTCCGAGCCCAGATTACTGTCAGTGATGCCCTGTATTCTTGGGATCTCACTGGCTCCTAGAACGTGCGGTGGGAATGTGCAGGCTCTAGTGGGGCTTGATCCGGGTCGATGGCACAAATGGCTTGTAGAAACGGTTCAGAGGCACGTGCGCTGCTTGGTGTGAGTCTGCAGAGAAGCCAGCTTTGGCTCGTTGCTGTTCACCAGCCCTCTGTCTGCCGTGTTAAGGCTCATCTGCAAGACAACTCCTCCATGAAGCCCTCCATCCAGCTCTGCGCGTTATTAATCAGTGCTTACTCTTTGGCAGACAGTGTGGGTGCTAGGCAGAGAAGCTGCCTGATAAGATTGCCTTATCCTGGGGGATCCCCACCCGTGGGTGCCTCTTGTGCTTTTGAACCCCTGGGCGCTGAGCTTGCGCCTTTCACTTGGTTCCAGCGGTGGGCCTCGAGAAAATACCGTCTGGGTCCTTATCTCCCTTTGTTCCCCTGAGTCTCTTCGTGTCCCCTGCAGGACTTTGTTCAGCGGGCTGAAAAGCATCAAGCAGGCCGTGTGGAGCGTGGGAATCTAGCGACTTGAAAGGGGGCAGTTCAAGAAGGAAAACCTGCGTTCTGCCATGAAACCGCTTGGTAAGAGGTTGGAGGTAAGCCCATCTCAGCACTGCTGCTCCTGGGCAAAGGCAGTGACTTTTCAGCTTCGGAAAAGTAAGAGCAGCTGGTCCATCAGCTCTTGGTATCCATTCTTGTCTGATTCTCAGCAAAACAATAAATTACATCCAGAATACCACCCTGTGCCCTATTTTCAGCCATCTACTGCCAAGGATGTTACTTACACCTTTATTAAAAATTCAGTGCTTATGACAGAGAGGTGAATGAACGCTATATTATAAGCTCAGAATAATTATTTGGGCTTGTTTTAATCCCTAGAAGATATGCTTCTTCCTTTTGGCTTTTCCACATTTAGTTCTCAGCCTATATGTTTCTGGCCCTTTTGCAATTTTCCAGCATGTTAGATCAGAGTAGCTGCTATGTACCAGGCTCGGTATTCTGTGTTTTGGGGCTGTGAAGATGGGTGGTCCCCGCCCATAAAGAACTCTTCTGCCTGCCTTGTACATCACAGATGCTCCATAAACTAACCTGTGTAAATTAAATTAAGTGATGTGGCTGCAGTTTTCATTATTGAAAGATTGTAAATGAATGTACAGTTGTACTAAAGTAATTCATGTTCACATTTAGAATAAAATCAGTGTTAAGAGGCTTATATATAAAGTGAACAGTCCCGTAACTCATCTTACAGTCTCACTTCCCCGAAGCAAATACTTTTCACTCTCTTAGCTACTTTTGTGTTGTTTTTACCTGCTTCTGTCTAAACCATTTCCTTTCAGCGCTCCCAACTTTACACGTTTCCTTCTATACATCTAGTAGTCAGTCAGTAATCAGAGTTTACATGGTTCTGGCAAAGTTATTATTATTTACTGTTAAGCCAAGTAATGTACTATCATTATGGTTTGAGTTTTTTTTCCCCCCTTTGTATGGTTTTTTAATCTTTCCGGAGTTAATGGTTGCCTCACTTTTTCCATATACTCAGGTTTCTATGTATCTATCACTAATTTTTTTTCTGCATGTTTTAACAGAGCCATCATACATATGAATAATTTTTCTACACACTCTAATACAACAAAATGTGTCATTTCCATTCCTCCCTCACCCCTGTAGCCATTCGTCTTGTGCCAGTGTGGACTGGTTACTGTCTGGTCCACTGCACAGCTGTTATCTTGGGACTTCCTCTTGTCCTTTTACTGGGCATTTCTTTAGCAGCTTTCTTGGATCCTGTGTCTTCTCTGAATAATAGTTAACCTGGGAATAGAACTGTAGGTTGAAAAAAGTGTCCGTCAGAATTTTAAGGTTTCCACCCTTGTTTTCTAGAATCCAGCTTGCTGCTAGCGTGACTCTTAATCCTGGGTTTTTTCTGAAAGCTTTTAAGATCATCTTTTTCTTAATGCCTCTGATATTTTGAACCTTGACAACTGTGAATTTGTTCTAAACGTGGAGATGTCACTGCTTCCCCCATATTATGACCACTGGCTGGCTTGTATGTTGGTACAAGATGAGTGGCTATGGGTGGGAGAGAGGAATGGAAATGATACGTTGTGTTGGAGTATGTAGTAAAATTATTAATATGTATGATAGCTCTGTTAGAGCATTCAGAAAAAAAAATTAGTGATAGATGCATAGGAACCTTAGAAAATGGAAAAAGTGAGGCAACCGTTAACTCCAGGAAAAATAAAAAGTCATATACTGAGGAGGGGACATTTTATATGAGTCCTGGATGAGGAGACCTGTAAAGTGTGTTCTAAGCTGAGAGTAGCAGGTGTCGTGAACAAGATAAACCACATTTAAGGATTGGTAGGGAAATCTAGAAAAATGGTACAGATGAACCGGTTTGCAAGGCAGAAATAGAGACACAGATGTAGAGAAAAAACGTACGGACACCAAGGCGGGAAAGTGGCAGGGGAGGTGGGGGTAGTGGTGGTGGTGTGATGAACTGGGAGATTGGGATTCACATGTATACACTAATATGCATAAAGTAGATAACTAATAAGAACCTGCTTATAAAAAAAAATAAATAAAATTTAAAAAGAAGGATCGGTAGAGACTTCCTTGTGCCTGGAGCAGAGGGTATGAAGGGAGAGTGGGGAGGAGGGGAGGCAGGAGCACATTGTGGGACGGTTCTGAGCCACAGGCGTCGGGTTCACGTACTAAGAAGGATGTTCTGCTGTCGTTGGAAGGTGAATTGAGACAGGCAAGAGCAGAAGTAGGGCCATGTGGGAGGTTATTGCGGGTTCCAGGAGTGAGTCTAAGATGCCCTGATCTCTTCCCCGCCTGGAATCTCCCATCCAGGACAAGATAAAGAATAGGTGAATGAAGGAGGCCAGCCCTGTGGGGCCTGTGAACAGTGGCAGGGAGGTGCAGTGTCCGTTTGTCACGGGACGATCTGAACGCAGTGTCTCCTTCCCTCAGGGCCCAATGGCTGCAAAGTTGCAATCCAACGATCCCAAAACCAAGAGTCCTGGCAGCATCACCTTCAGCAAGGCTGCGACCCATGGGCAGTGGGGCCGTGCCTGGTAAGGCTCTCACCCATCTTCCCGGCTAGAAAGTAAAGTGGGATCTCAGTGAGAGGTTGCCAGCCTTTGGGATTTCGTGAACCTATTAAAAAAATTCTTTTTATCAGCAAGACTGTCATTAGTAGTAGTCTCCCCTTTTAGAGAGTGAGGAATTACAGGAAGAAGAAACTAAAAACTGATTCCAAGGACAGCTGGTGCCCTTGTACCGCCCTCACTGTGTAGCACATGGGGGTCATGGTTGTCGAGCCATAGAGTGCTGGGGACTTGGTGAATGTCCCCCATGGCCCAGAACGGGAAGCCTCTGGCCACCTGGGTTGTGAAAGGCCTTCTGCCTTTCGTGCCCTGGGCTCTGGGCTTTCTGGGGGTGCCCACGGGTCTGTCGGCCTTCAGACTGCCTACAGTGGAGCATGCAGGTGGGGTGCCTTCCCCAGGCAGTGGGGGCCTTTGCACTGCGAGCCGACAGCCTTCTCTTGGGAAGCGCTGGCGGGTTTGCACGTGGAGCAGAGCATCCCGTGCGTCGGGTCGGAGGGTCAGGAGGGCGCGCGTGACCTCCTACTGTCCGTCCGCCCCACAGGGAGGTGGACTGGTTTTCCCTGGCAAGCGTCACCTTCCTGCTGCTGTTTGCACCCTTCATCGTGTACTATTTCATCATGGCCTGCGACCAGTACAGCTGCTCCCTGACGGCCCCCTTGGTGGACATCGCCACCGGGCGGGCTCGACTCTCGGACATCTGGGCCAAGACGCCACCTGTGACAACGAAAGCGGCCCAGATCTACGTGGCATGGGTCACGTTCCAGGTCAGCCCTCCCGGCCACCGGCCACCATGGGCGGGGCTCCGCCTCTGCAGAGCGTCCCCTCCTGCCGGAATAGTCCTGGCCCCTTGTCAGGGGCGGGGTCCTGGCTCACCACTGGCGTCCTCATTCCTGGGACCCAGCAGGGAATCACCTGCAGCCTGACGGACTTAGCTTTGTCTTCAGATCAAGGGCACCTGGTGGCATTTCAGTGTCCGACTCGCTTTCCGCTGAGCCTCTTCGAGGTTCAGGGCTGTGCCCAGCCCTGCGGGGACCTGCTGAGCAGGAAGCAGGACCCCGTGGCAAAGCGTGAGGGCATGGCCCACCAGGGAAGCCCCATGCACAATGGGGAGCTTATGCTAAAGGGCCGCTCTCGGTCTCAGCAAAACCAAGGCTGTGTCCCCAGCAGGTGGTTGCACAGACCTGTCCAAGGACAGCCTTGGCTCTGCTGTGACCCCACTGGCCTCCCAACCAGAAGGAGTTCATCAGAAGGCTGTCTGCACCATGAGCTTGGTGAGCAGGTGGTGTTTATTATCTGAACCCAGGAGGTTTCCAGGGAAACGGTGCTGTGAGATGCCACCCCCTCCCCGCCCTGGGGTTTCCTGCCCTGAAGGAAGACTTTGACCACTACTAGCTGTTTCTCCCCACATTCCCAGCTTTTGAGTTTCAGATTCCCTCTCATTTCAGGTCTCTTGGTTCCTTTGGGTAAAAAGTGATTCAGAGCAGCGAGAGTCACAGTAGCCTAAAGGCAGAAACAGCCCACATGTCCATCGACAGATATGGATACACACAATGTGATCCATCCACGTGATGGAATGGTGTTCTGCCATGAAAAGGAATGAAGGTCTGACACAGGCTACAGGGTGGATGGACCTTCAGAACATGATGCTCAGTGAAAGAAATAGCTACAAAGGGACAAATCCTGTCTGATTCTGTTTATGTGAAAAGTCCAGGATAGGCAAATCCATAGAGACAGAAAGTGGGTTAGTGGTTGTCAGGGGCCGGTGGGCAGGGGCCAAGGGGAGTGACTGCTTGTGGGTGTGGGGTTCCCTTTTGGGGGGGTGAAACTGTTCTATAATTAGACATTGGGGAGGGCTGCACGAGCTTGGGAGTGCACTGAACACTTTCGGCGAGCACTTTCAAAGGGTGAGTCGTACAGAATGTGAACTAGTGGGTTCTCCCGAGGGGAGTGGCCGAGTCCCGTGGGGAGACGGCTTGGGTGCTCTGAGTAGTGATGAGTTTCCTGTTCAGGGCCCCCTTCAAAGCCCACAGTCAGCCTGCAGCCAGAGCTCCCGGAGCTATAGACTCTTCTGGAAGAAATAACTGGCTATGAGTAGGCTTTCTCCCATTCCTTCCGTGCCTTCCCATTTATCATCTCGGTTAATAAAGCAAGGCTGTGTCAAAGCACAGCCAGGCCCTCCAGCTCACAGGGAATTTAGCTGAAAATCTCTGTGTCTTAGGTGCTTCTGTACATGCTGCTTCCTGACTTCTGCCACAAGTTTCTGCCGGGCTACGTGGGGGGCGTTCAGGAGGGCGCCATGACTCCTGCAGGTAAGCTGGGCCCCGCCCCTGCTGCCCACCACCTGTGCCAGCTCTGCCCTCCCTTCATCTCACGGGGCCTCCCCCCACCCCCGCCCCCGTGCAGCTTCCATCCCAAAGGCTGCCCCCGGACAAAGTAAAACCTTTGCTTGGGAATTTCCACACCCCGGGACCGCCCCAGATTCGAGGTGGGAAGTCACCTTCTCAATCGGGGAACGAAATGCGCCCTGCCCCACACTGGCTGTGTAGCTGGGCTCACGGAGCATCTCGAGTCCCCCAGGGGCACCTGGTGGGGCGGGGCTTTTGTTAAGGGGCCCTTGGGGCTGCCTGGCCCATTCATTCCGCACAGTCACTGAGACCCCACCCCAGCACACAGAGAGCACCTGGTCCCTCAGGGAGGCTGCTGGGTCCCCCGCTTCTGCTGTGGCTCAGCCCCAGCCTCCGGCAAACTGCAGGCTGGTGACTCAGCCTCTGGCTGGTTCCAGACATTCTGCACCCTCTCACCCTTCCAGGAACTCAGCAAGCAGGAGCGGTTAGTCCCCAGCTCACGGCGTGAGGTGTGCCGCTGGCATTTTGACCCTGGGGGCCCGAATTGCAGTAGCAGCTGACGGGCTGTCAAGCCTGGGGTCTGGGGACCGCGGCAGCTGAGGCCCAGAAAGGCGGCAGGGCCGGAGCCAGGAGCTCTTACAGCTGGGAAAACGCCTCCCATCTTCCCTCTTCGCTCTGCAGGAATCGTCAACAAGTATGAGATCAACGGCCTGCAAGCCTGGCTCATCACGCATCTCCTCTGGTTTGTTAATTCCTACCTCCTCACCTGCTTCTCTCCCACCATCATCTTTGACAACTGGATCCCGCTGCTCTGGTGTGCCAACATCCTGGGCTACGCCGTCTCCACCTTCGCCATTATCAAGGCTTACTTCTTTCCCACCGATGCCCGAGACTGGTATGTCCTCAGCGGCTGCTCGAGCCCAAGATGGAGAGTAGGTGCCTTTTTCTGTTACCTTGGGCTAGGAGGTCGCAGAGCCCTGAGGATTGAGAATGCCTGAAGGAGGAGCTTAAGGGAACCTGATGGACTCTGGGAAGCATCCTTTCCAAATGTCTGGGTGGCTTCTCCCGCCTTAGGGAGGATGCAGTTGAAGACGGCCGAGTCCATCTCTGGTGGCCGAGCTGTGTCGGGTAGGGCCGTCAGGGAGCAGCGGGGTGGAAAAGGCAGCTTCTGGTCGGGCGGCAAAGGCAGTCCATCACCTCTTTTTTTCTGGAACGTCAGTGTGGCCTGAAACAGTCTTAGTGAGGAGTCCTGTTTTCTCAGTGGCTTTAATGTAACAACTTCCCAGGGAGAGCCCTACTGATTGGTGTCTGTTCTCATGGAGCCCTGGGTTGGATAGTTATCAACCATGCATCCATCTCTCCTTCATCTACCCATATATCCAGTTCTTCGTCCATTTGTCCACCCACCCATCTGTCCATCCATCCACCCATCCAACTCATCCATCCATCCACCTACCTGTGCACCCATCCACGCATCCGTCCATTCATCCATCCATCTCCCCATCCAGCCACCTACCCATCTATCCATCCCCCATCCCTTCCTCCACCCCTCCCTCCCTCCCTCCCTTCCTGTCTCCCTGTATCCGTCCATTCACCCATGCACCCATTCATCCAGCCAATTCATCCATCCATACATCCACTTATCCCCCCATCCCTCCCTCCCCACCTCCTTCCATCCGTCCATTCATCAAGAGATGTTTGTTGGGTTCCTCCTGTAGACAGGTGTAGGCAGTGGGGCTTTAGGTGTAAACAAGATTCTTATTCTCGGGGTGCTTACATTTTAGTTTGAGGGCCCAAATGAAAATAAGGTATGTTTCCTTTAACTGTTATCCCTGAACTCTTAGGAAATGCGTTTGGTTGGTGGCACTTTGAGCTGTTGTGTGTTTTTTTTTTTTTTTATCAAATAACGAGGCTGGTCTTCTATGCCTCATGGAAATCATTTTCTCTGCCTTATAACCACATCCCCTATTGTAGGCTTTGTAGATTTGGTTCTTTCTACTTATCCTAACTGAGGAAAATGGACGCGAAAATATGTTTCTCTGACTAGCACAGAAATCCCCGTGTATGTACAGCAAGTTATACTTAATGAAGGTCTCCACATGGGTGATCGCGGCTGATTCTCTGATCACTCCTGGAGAGGGCTATGGGTCAGGCAACCAGGGTAATGAAACGTTAAACTTGCCCAGCAAGGGATGGGTGTGGGCCCTGGAGCCAGGCACCCGGCTCTAAGCAGCGTGCTTTTTTTTTCACATCTACCTTGGCATCACTTATAACTCCACTTGCCCACGGGAGACCCGAATGCCCTGCGAGTCTTTCAGAATAAAATCTCTGGAGCCTGGAGTGGGGAGGGAGGACCCTGGGTGCTGGCCCAAGGGAGGCTCAAGCACAGATACAATCTCCCCACCTTCCTTGCAACAGAGCAAAAGCAGCTCAAGGGCCAGAGGTGAACGAGGAGTGAAGCACCGTGTCTGCGGGGAGAGAGGGAGTCTGACGCGGCCTCTGCCTGCTGCATCCCTGCAGTTCACGGCAGGTCTCCCCCCAGGTCATCCCTCTCGGGCCTGCCGTACCCAGGCTGTGTCCGTGCCGGCCGAGTAGGCCACTTGCGAGATGCGCTTGTTAACGATGCGCGTCCGTTCTTTGTATTTTAAAGCAAATTCACAGGCAATTTCCTGTACAACTACATGATGGGCGTGGAGTTTAACCCCCGAGTTGGGGAGCGGTTTGACCTCAAGCTCTTCTTTAATGGACGCCCCGGGATCGTCGCCTGGACCCTCATCAACCTGTCCTTCGCAGCCAAGCAGCAGGAGCTCTACGGCCACGTGACCAACTCCATGGTCCTGGTCAACGTCCTGCAGGTATAGCCTCTCCCTGGCCCAGCGGGGTGGGAGCTCTGACACCCGGTGGGCGCCAGGGAAGCCTGAAAGCCAGATAGTGTTCAAAAGACCATAACCTGCCGCTTTTGCAAGGGGTCGGCCCCCTTCCCACGTGGCTCTGGTCAGAACACGGCCGCTCCTGTGTTGCAGGCCGTCTATGTGCTGGACTTCTTTTGGAACGAAACCTGGTACCTGAAAACCATCGACATCTGCCACGACCACTTCGGGTGGTACCTGGGGTGGGGGGACTGCGTCTGGCTGCCGTACCTCTACACCTTGCAGGTGAGAAGCAGGGGCAGGGAGCCCCCGTGACGCGTGCCCAGCGCAGCAGCACGCCGAGCTGTAAAGTCCCCGGGCACCCCCCGCGCTGCCCTCGGAGCAGACACAGCTGAGCACATGCCGAGCCTTGTCGTCACCCAAGTGTCTGTTTTTTTGGGGGGTGTGGGGTGGCGCCAGAACCTGGAGAAGGGAGGCTGCTCCCCTGTTGTAGGAAGAAGAGAAGGCGTAGTGTACGAGTCAGCACAGGCCACTGTAACAGGTACCACGGACCAGGCGGCTTAAACAACAGGGTTCATTGTCTCCCCGTCTGGAGGCTGGAATCCGAGACCCAGGTGTGGGCAGGGCTGGGTCCTGCTGAGGCCTCTCTCCCTGGCGTGTAGACGGCCGTCTCCTCCCTGTGTCCTCGCGGCGTCGTCCCTCCGTGTGTGTCTGTGTCCTGACCTCTTCTCATAAGGACCCCAGTCCTGTGGGGTTAGGACCCACCCTAGTGGCCTCATTTTACCTTCCTCACCTCTTGAAAGAAAGACACGCAACTCCAAATACAGTCACATTCTGGGATGCTTGGGGGTCAGGACTCCAACATGTGAATCTGGGGGACACGACTCAGCCCATAGACTGAGAGAAGATGATACGGAGTAAACTTTGGGTCAAGAGAAATGATTTGGGGGATCTGGGTGGATGGAGGTGGGTATTTGTATTCATGTGTGTTCAGATCTCAATGCTGAAGGGATGAGAGGCCTTCTTTCCTTCCGTCATTTGCATTTAAGCTTTGAGTGTGTACACGCAAGAGTAGAGGAGGTGCAGGGGGCCCTGCGCTCTCGGAGCTCACAGCTGGGGAGGGGAAGTCCCTGACATGGGCAGTCCAGTGCGGGGAGGGGGAGCTGGACAGGAAGTGGGGTGCTGACCCCTGACAGAGGGCCAAGGAGGACCCCCCAGCCAGCAGGTAGGGGTCAGCAAGAGTATCTCGGAGCAACCACAGCCAGGCTGAGAGCAGAATGATGAGTCTGAGGGGGAATATATCAGGGTGCAGGGGAGGGCAGAGGGGGACATTTAAGGCACGAGACAGTTCAGCGTGGCTGGGACACAGGACGTGGGGGTGGCAGGAAGCCTTGCCCAATTGGAGGCTGGAGGACCAGAGGCCAGCACCGGGTGGGAGGCCTGCAAGAGGGGAGTGTTCCAGGCGAGAAGAGGATGCTGGGGTTGGGGGGGCACAGGCTCCGGGAAAAGTTCCCGCGAGTAATGAATCAGGCCGGGTCCCCAGGAGAGCCTCAGCACACTCATTTCTCTGCTTGGCTGGTTGCAGGCTCACTGGTTCCCTGATTTTGTGAACACCATTTTCCAAGCATGCAAAGCAGTAGCAATAGATCTCTCTCTCACACACACACACACACACACACACACACACACGTATGTGTGTTTATTTGATTATGTGACTCTGGTCCATTCAAGTCCAAAATCTTCAGGGCAGCCAGCAGGCTGGAGGTCCAGGGAAGAGTTGGTATTGCAGCTAGGTCTGAAGGCCGTCCTCTGGTGGAATTCCAGGGATTCTTTTATTCTTAGGGCCTTCCACCGATTAGATGAGGCCCACCTACATTGTGGAGGGTGGTCTGCTTCATTCAGTCTAATTGGAAACATTAATCCCATCTAAAAAATACCTTCGTAACAACTAATGTTTGACCAAGTGTCTGGGTCCCATGGCCTAGCCAATGTGACACATTAAATGAACCATCACACTATTATATTCAAGTAATACTTATAATATGTATATATATATATGATATACATGTGTATGTATGTATGTATGTGTAGATAGACATATAGATAGGAAAGTAGCTAGGTGGATATGCAAATTTGCATATTTACTTGTCTGATCCCACAGCAACCCTCCGAGGCAGGCACTTCTATTTACAGGAGAGGAAACCGAGGCAGGGGACGGGGGCAGCCGGTCAGGCGCACAGCAGGGGTTTGAACACAGGCCGTGTTCCCGAGCCCGCGGTCCCGCTCAGCCCGCTGACCTCTCCCGCTCGCCCTGCAGGGTCTGTACCTGGTGTACCACCCCGTGCAACTGCCCACCCGCTACTGCCTGGGCGTCCTGCTGCTGGGCCTGCTGGGCTACTGCATCTTCCGGGTGGCCAACCATCAGAAGGACCTTTTCCGCCGCACGGACGGGTGCTGCCTGATCTGGGGCAGGAAGCCCAGGGTCATCGAGTGTTCCTTCACGTCGGCAGACGAGCAGAAGCACCGCAGCAAGCTGCTGGTGTCCGGTTTCTGGGGCGTGGCCCGTCACTTCAACTACACCGGCGACCTGATGGTCAGCCTGGCGTACTGCCTGGCCTGCGGTGGCGGCCACCTGCTGCCCTATTTCTACGTCATCTACATGGCCATCCTGCTGACCCACCGCTGCCTGCGGGACGAGCACCGCTGTGCTAACAAGTACGGCCGCGACTGGGAGCGCTACACGGCCGCCGTGCCTTACCGCCTGCTGCCCGGAATCTTCTAGAGGGCCGCCCCGGGAGGAGCCCCCAGCGGGGCAGGAAGCAGAGCTGGAGTCAGGTCCGCTGGGGCAGCATGATCTCTGCGCCACGCTCCAGCAGCCTCTGCGTCCTTCCCTGTAAAATGCAAACAGCCCGGCACTTGTCCTGAGCGGACACCGACTGCCTTCTCACCAGCAGAAGTGACCAGCTTCCTCCGTGCAGTGTCCCCAGGGTGGGAGGATGACCCGACTGGCTGGCAGATGGCGCTGTTTCCTCTCTGGGGTCTGAGCCGCCCGCTGCCCAGACAGCAGGAGTCCGACACTGAACGGGATGTCTTCCTGCCCCCGTGGTCAGTCCTGCCCTTACTCTTGCTAAATAAAGTAGAAGGTGGACACGTAAGCTGTGCCAGTTATCAGTTGACTTGCCTTTCAGCTCCAGGTGCACCCCGCATCACCTGCTCTGCGGTAGTGAGCTGTGCCCTTCAGACTTCTCTCCTTTGCACATGCACCTCGTTACATTTGTCTGTAGAGGGCGCTAAGGGATGCTGCACGAGTAGGGGCATCTTCTGGTTCTGGTTCTTCTACAGACTTGGCCCAGGCAACCCAGAGAACTTGGCCACACCATACGGGGGCCTCACCCAAGCCTTCCCCAAGGAGACCTGAACCCCAGCCTTGGGGAAGGGACACCCTTCACGTGTTTTCTTACCTTGGGGCACACTCCTTGACCCGCAGGTATTTTTTTTTTTTTCAATTTACTTATTTATCTTTGGCTGTGTTGGGTCTTCATTGCTGCGCGCGGGCTTTCTCTAGTTGCGGTGAGCAGGGGCTACTCTTCATTGCAGTGCACGGGCTTCTCACTGCAGTGGCTTCTCTTGTTTCGGAGCACGGGTTCTAGGCGCGCGGGCTTCGGTAGTGGTGGCTCGCGGGCTCTAGAGTGCAGGCTCAGTCGTTGTGGCGCACGGGCTTAGTTGCTCCGTGACACGTGGGATCTTCCCGGACCAGGGCTCAAACCCATGTCCCCTGCATTGGCAGGTGGATACTTAACGACTGCGCCACCAGGAAAGTCCCCACAGGTATTCTTGACAGCTCTCTTTAGACGTTATGCCCTAGTCGAGTTAATAATTCTTTATTCAGGTGTATCTGGGATGTATTGCAGGTTTGGTTCCAGGCCACCCCAATAAAGAGATTATCACAATAAAGCGAATCACACGAGTTTTTTGGCTTCCCAGTGCATAGAAAAGTTAGGTTTACACGATTCTGTACTCTTTTAAGTATGAAATAGCATTGTCTTAAAAGACAGTGTATACACCTTGATTAAAAAAAGCTCTATTGCTAAAAAATGCCAGAACGATGACCATGGAAACATCACAGGTCACTGATCACAGATCACCGCTAACAAATAGAAAGAAAAGTTTAAAGTACGGCCAGAAATGCCAAGATGTGACACAGAGACACAAGGTGAGCAAATGCTATTGGAAAAATGGCACCGGTAGGCTTGCTGGATGCAGGGTCACCAGAAACCTTCAGTCTGTAAAAAGCGTGATTATCTGCGAAGCGTGATAAAGTAGATGTGCCTGTTTTAAACTTTCCCTGTTCAGACTTCTTTGTGGTTTGTCTCCCAATGGGGCCTGGCCATAGGGCTCAGTTTCTGGTGTGTAGAGGCAATGCCCAGGGAACTTTGGATCAGATGCTTGGGTCCTGCCTCAAAGCTTTGGGTACTGATCACGGGATTCAGGGGAGGGGTCCACACTTTCCCCACCGTTGGCCCTCTGTTGGGGCCACTCTTGTGCTGGGTGTGCCATTCTGTTTGCCAAAGGAAGAAATCCCAGTTTGGCCGCCTGCCCCCAACAAGAGAACGGAGAAGCCACAAAGATGGCAGTGTTAGGCTTGCTTCACACCTGGAGGAACCGAGGACTGGAATGTGCTGGGAGCCCCGCTCCCTGGGCAGGGAGGGCAGGTGCGGGGCAACGCCTCCCCTGCTCATTCTACAACTGGTTGAGCAAAGACAGGCGGCCTCCTCAACAGCCAGGAGGGGATCGGAGCTTGGGGCCCACCTGGGCCGACTTAAGAGCTGTGATTTTCCAATGCTGGTACCCCACCCCTGCCCATGGAGCTCATGGGTCAAAGGGGGTCCCAGGTGTTTGTATTATCACCAGCCACACAAGTGGTTTGAGTACCAAGGCCAGAGCAGTGAACTCCCACCGGGATGGCGCTGAGTACGGTGGGCCCCGCCGTTTCCTCCCAGTCACTGTGTGAATTCATTTTAAGGAGGCTGGAGGGTGGTGGCTGTGAGCTCAGACCCTGGCTTCCCTATTCAACAGCTGTGTGACCACGGCCAGGCAATCTCCCTCTCTGTGCTTTGTTGTCCTTGTTTGAAAACTAAGGGTAATTATTGTTTTCTTGTCTCGTGTGAGGTTTCTCAGCCAGATTTCCTGGGAGAGCTCTAGGTTTGAACCTTGGATCTGCCTCTCAGTTTGCCAAGTTTCGTTCATGTGTTAGCGTCTTGGAGCTGGGCTGCGCTTTGACCTGTTTTGTTCCGTGTGCTCAGCTAACACAGTGAGGCAGGGCGCCCCGTGCAATAGGGTAGGTTTATCTGCCCTCCCTCACCTCCTCTGCATGTGGATGAAACCCAGTGCCCCCTCTCCGGGCAAGCACTGGGGAGCCCGGAGCTCCACCTTTGTGCATGGTGAGGTTGGCGTAGGTGGTGGGGGGAAAGGATGGTCCACACTAGAGATGCGCTGCCCATGGTGATGGGCTTGGCTTCACTGCTATCTTCAGGGAGAGCTATCCCAGGAGGGACAGGCCTGGGGGTGTTCCTCCAGTTCTTGGCACTCTCCTGCCTGGATGTGGGTGTTGTTTCGATCGTGAGAAGGCAGGCCAGGCAGTGACCCAGCCAGGTTCTCTGGGTGAGAGGCTGAGTTGAATAGAATGTGCAAAATCAAGATGTAAGTCCACACCCTTCTTTTCTAGAAAGGGCAGGTCGTTCTCACACTGCACAACCACACTCTGCCCCTCACCAGACTCAGATCTCCACATCTATTGGGAAAGATGTTGAAAGCATGCCCTGGAGTGTCACGTGGGCAGACCACAGTGATTAGGAGGCAGGGATGGGCTGGCTTCAGAGGGCACCAGAAATTCAGTGCCCCACGTGTGGCTGTCCGCCAGTGACCCACACACAGACCTGCTCATGCCGCCCAGTTTCTTGTCCTGGGAATACAGGCAGGCCTTGGAGATTTGTGTAGGGCCAGCTCACTCACCTGGACAAACGGATGTGAAGAGAGCTCTCGGTGAGAGGCAGGTAACCAGGGAACCTCACCTGCCTTGGGGCCTTAAATACCTCCATAAGCACTGGCGACTACAGAGGTCCCCCTCCGATGCCCCTCTGGCCTGAGTCCCATCCATGTGTCCACATGCCTCCTCCCTATCTCACTTGTGTGGATTAGGCTTAGGGTTAGGGTACGGGTTAGGGTTAGGGTTATGTGGGTTATGTGGGTTAGGGTTAGGGTTAGGGTTAGGTGGGTTAGGGTTATGGTTATGTGGGTTATGTGGGTTAGGGTTATGGTTATGTGGGTTATGTGGGTTAGGGTTAGGTGGGTTAGGATTAGGGTTATGTGGGTTATGTGGGTTAGGGTTAGGGTTAGGGTTAGGGTTAGGCGTAGGCTTAGGCTTAGGCTTAGGGTTAGGGCTATGGTTAGGTGGGTTAGGTGGGTTAGAGTTAGGTGGGTTATGGTTAGGTTTAGGGTTAGGGTTACGGTTATGGTTTGGCGGGTTAGAGTTTGGGTTATGGTTAGGTGGGTTAGGGTTAGGGTTAGGGTTAGGGTTAGGGTTAGGGTCTTAAAGCCTTCTCAGACTTCACAGATCAGCAACTCCCACGTCTCCCCCAGAAGTTGCTCTCAGGTGATGGCAAGTCCAGACCCGCACGTGGAATTATCCCTCTCTCACTCAACCGGCCTGTACTCTTGCAGGCTCTCCTGCTCTCAGATGCATCCGGCATCCGACCACTGCCTACCGTCTCAGTGCTGAGCCTGTCCCAGCCCCGCCCTCTCTCGACAGCAAGAGGAGCCGCAGCACTGGTTTCCTGGCCTCTGGCCTCTCGGCCCCAACCTGTTCTTAGCACAACAGTCAGACTTGTCCTGTTAAGGTGTGAGAGTCAGAGCATGTCACCGCTCTGCTCAGAACTCCTCAAGGCCTCCTGTCACAATAAAAACCAACGTCATTTCCAGAACCTAAGGTTTGCCTCGCTCCTTCTCTCACATTTGCCCAGCTACGGCTATGCCGGCCGCCTCGCTGGCCCTCCAAGGCCCCAGGGCTCTTCCACCACAGGGCTTTTGCACAGGCTGTTTCCTCCGCCTGGAACACTCTTCCCCTTGGCATCCATCTGGTTCCCTCAATGACCTTCTAGACGTGGCTGAAATATCACCTTCACAGGGAAGCCTTCCTCACACACTCATCCCAGGACTCTGCTTTTCTTTTCTTCATAGAACCTACTCTCCAGTTACAGAATATAAATTACCAATTTATCTTGAGTATCTGTCTCCCCCACAAGAATACAAGATCAGTGAGGGTAAATTTCTGATTATTTTGTTCCCAGATGTATCCCCAGCCCCAGAACGCCGTCTGCCCTGTGTCAGCAGCTGACTCTTCCAGCTTCTACTGTGCACCCACCACCGCTGTGAGAACCTTACATATACTCTCTGACCCTCACAATAACCCAGCTACTAAATACTGTCGTCATCGCCCCCATTTTATAGGTGGTGAAACCGAGGCACAGATGGACAGTGGGACCTGCCCAAGGTTACATGCTGATACGTTGCAGAGCTGGAACTCAAACTCCATCTGGCGCCAGAGTCTGTGCTCATTACCACCTCCCCTAGAGCTTCATCTCCTCTTGCTCTACTTGTTAAATAACTAGAAAGCCTGTGTCTTGAAGCAGGGCTGGGCCAGATGCAAAGCTTTCCACCAGTGCTTTCCGGACTTTGGGTTGCAACCCGCTCATGGGTCATAAAATCGTCCCTAGAAGGGCAGGG